TATATATAAACTATTCATTGGGAACCTGTTTTACCATGTACACTTCCACTGAAAATGTAGTAAAGTATTATTTTTAAAATGAAATTGCTATTTGGAGTTAAGATTAACATACATAAACATTTGTGGCATATTTTGAATACATAGTGATTCTAATTATGAATCAAATAAACCAAGATTGAGTACAACAATTTTCTAAATACTGGTAATTACTACTCTAAAGCAAAGCCTTGTTTTTATATGCAGCAATCAAATTTATTATGTAAGCATCCTTTTTAAATATTGCTATTTTTAAATGTTTCTATTTGGTGAGAACCACTGGTTTTAACATAGAAAAAGTGAAATACCGTTTTGTTGTTGTTGTACTGTCGAGTTGGAACCGACCCATAGCTGACCCTCCAGCAGGTTTTCAATAGCAGTTAATCGCATGGAAGAATATTGCCCAGCCATCTCCCACAGAGCAGCTGGTAGATTTGCACTGTGTGTCTTCCAGATTGCAGCCCAGCTTCTAACCACTAGGCCACCAGTGAATTCCACTGCGAATACCTCTCCTTCACTGACCCTCTACCCTTCCTAGTCCCTCTCCAAGGAATATAATACTCTCCTAGCAAGATGCCAAAAGGAGAAAAAGACCTTCAACCAAGTGTATTGACAAGGTGACTGCTGCAGTGGGCTCTTGTGTGTCAGGAAGTGTGAGGATGGCTCAGGACAGGACTAGTTTTAGATCTTTTGTTCATAGGGTCACTATGATTCATACTTGACTCAATGGCACCTAACAACAGCAACAACAAGCAACGTGCCCAAAGTATGTGAGGTGAAGTCTCATTATTCTTGCTTCCAAAGGGCACTACCGTTGCACCCACTCTAAGACATATCTGTTTGTTCTTTTGGCCATCCACAGCATGTTAAGTGCTCTTCTCCAACAACACAGCTCAAAGGCATCAATTCTTCTTCTGTTATCCTTATTCACTATCCAGATCTCAGATACATAGCAAGTGATCAGAAAGAATATTACCTGAATCAGACACATCTTAGTCCTTAAACTAACATCATTACTCCTCACTAATTTGGAGAGTTCCCTAACTGCTGATTTTCCCAATATAATGCATCTTTTTTTTTATGGTGAGAAAAATTTATTATATTTAGAATTAGCCCGCTGGACTCAGTTTAGATGATCCCAATTTTGTTGCCAACATCCAAAGCATCATAATCAGGAGCAAGTCGAACATAGGCCTTCTTCTCTCCATCAGACCTAATCAAAGTGTTGACCTTTAACCACATCAATGTCATAGAGCTTCTTTACAGCTTGTTTAATTTGGTGCTTATTGGCCTTGACATCCACAGTGAACACAAGTGTGTTGTTATCTTCTATCTTCTTCATGGCTGACTCAGTGGTCAGGTGAAATTTGACAATGGCATAGTGGTCAAGCTTGTTTCTCCTGGGGGTGCTCTTCAGGGGATGTTTGGGCTGCCTTCGGAGTCTCAGCGTCTTAGGCCGCCAGAACGTGGGTGACGTGCGGATCTTCTTTTTTTTTTGGCTGTGGACGCCCTTCAGGACTGCCTTCTTGGCCTTCAATGCCTTTGCTTTGGCTTCAGTTTTGGGAGGGGCAGGGGCTTCCTTCTTCGCTTTCGGCGCCATCTTCGTAGGAAGGGTCCAGTATAATGCATCTTAATTTTTGACTGCTGATACCAAAGGTGTTAATTGTGGGTCCAAGCAAGATGAAGCTGTTGACAGGTTCCATCTTCTCTCCATCCATCATGATGTTGTCTTGATACTGAGATGCATACCATACCGAAGGCTTCATTCCTTGATCTTCTGCAACAAGTACTTCAAATCCTTCTCACTTTCAGCAAGCTAGGTTGTATCATCTGCATAATGCAGGTTATTAATGAATCTCCCTCCAATCCTGAAGCCACACTCCTCTTCACAGAGTCCAGCTTCTCGAGTAATTCACTGATAATGAATACAATTTGTGATACTCAAATTGGTACTTCTTCTGATGGAGATGAAATATAATAGCCATTATGTATTAAAATCTTAATAAATGCCAAATGGAAGTTAAAAAAATCCTTTCAAAACTTAATGACTACAAGAAAGTGGATAAAGAAGGAAAGAATTGATTGCCCTCAAAAAGAAAATGTCCTGTATTTCATACAGATATATTAATGATTATATATAAAATGCAGCCTCCTATATGGATTGAAGCTCAAAATCAAGAAAACAAAGATTCTCACCACTGGGCCAATTGGCAACATCAGTATGGAAGGTGAAGAGATTGAGACAGTTAACAGTTTCCATTTACTTGGCTCTACAGTCAACACTCTTGGTAACAGCAGCCAGGAAATCAGGAGACAAATTGCATTGGAAAAGTCAGCTGTGAGGGACCTCTCAAGAGTACTGAATAGCAATGACATCAGGCTGGAGACTAAGGTGCGCCTGATCAGGGCTATCATCTTTGCAGTTATATGCTGTGCATCAGAGAGTTGGACAGTGAATAGGGATGATAGAAAGAGAATTGCCTTTAAGAATTGCTAGAAAGAAAATGCCTTTGAGCTGTGGTGCTGGAGAAGAGTGTTGAATATACCATGGACTGCTAGGAGAACAAACAGGTTTGTCCTGGATAAGGTGAAGCCGGAATGCTCCTTGGAGTCAAGGATTCTGAAGCTTCGTCTGACATACTTTGGGCATATTGCAAGGAGGGACTGGTCCTTGGAGAGGGACTCATGTTTGGCAGAGTGGAGTGGCAGCACAGGAGAGAAAGACCTTCAATGAGATGGATCAATTCTGTGATTGGAGTGCTGGGAATTAGTGCGTTTGAGATGGTTAGGTTGGCACAGAATAGAACAGCATTTAGGGCTCTTGTACATAGGGTCGCTATGAGTCGTAAGTGACTCGATGGCACATAACAACAACTATATATAAAATGCTATTTAAAAGATCAAATCTGGTTTTCCCCTTGAACTATCAATTCTTTTTAATAATTTACTTGCTAATAATTTCTATACTATTAAAATATATATTTTAGCTTATAATTGCACCAGGAATAGAAGAGGCTGCCTTGATAATTCGACAAATTGCTGACTACAATTTAATGAACTCCAAGAGAGATCCTCATGAATGGTTGGATAAATCCTGGCTCAATGTGTCACCTTCTAAGGTTCCTAACTTTATAAATTATGTTTCCTCAAATATATTTGGATGTTCTTTCTAGAAGCATATTTAGCCCTGTAATCAACTAGATACATGTATTCATGTCACTTTCCAGATTCATAGGTATTTTTTAACTTCACATAACAATATTAGTAGGAGCTTTTATAAAGAACATTCATGTTTAGTTTATTATAGTAACTTCAATGTCTATTTTTGTCTGGTTTTGTTTTGGTTTGGTTTGGTTTTTTTATTGAATGTCTAATATTCTTAAAATTACTTTTAGAAAACTATCTAAATTTATTTTTCTTCTCATGGCTATCAAGTTAGAACTGAGTCATAGTTGACCATCTATTGGGTTTCCAAGCCTGTAAATAGAAGATTGCCTATATTATTTCCACTGAGTCACTGTTGGATTCAATCTTCCAGAGGGGTGCAGGCTTTGGTTTTTCAGTGCAGAACCCTATGAACTATGCCATCAGAGCTCCCTTACCTACATTTGAACTTAGAATATCTTGAAAATAATATATTAAAGAACAGCAGAATCATAATTTCATAATTTTTCAGTAATTCAGTTTATATCATGGAAATTGAAAGCCAAGTAAAATATTTATGTTTTAAAGTATAAATGTTTACAAGTTCTCTAAAAATCTAAATATTTATGTTTCCCTTATTTTAAAATAATGAAGACAGTAAAAAAAGAATGATCAAAGTCTTTATGTACTAATATGGAATAATCTTCAAAAATATTGTTAAATGAGCACTGCAATCCCAAAGGTGAGTGGTTCGAGTCCACCAGATACTTTGTTGGAAAAGGATGGACAGTCTCCTGTGCAAATCAAATCTGACTTGATGGCTCACACAACAACAAAAATAAAATAGTCACTAAAGAAAAAGTTTTTAAAAAGACTGTTAAATGAAAAGTGAAGATAGCATAACCCTGTATGCTATACTACTATTAGTGCATAACAAGAAAAATATTATTTATAAGCATTTGTTTGTAAATGAATAAAATGTTTATGAAAAGATACATAAGAAACAGTAACATCAACTTCAGAGAGGAGAAATGGAGGATGAATAATGTGAGAATGAGACTTGTCATTTTATATCTTTTTTTAAAAAAAAATTCACTGTTATCAAGTTGATTGTGACTCATAGTGACCTTCCATTGTGTTTTCTGGGCCATAAATCATTACAGGAGGAGAATGCCCATCTTCATCCTGTAGAGCAGCTGGTGATTTGAACCTCCAGAGATGTGCAGTCTTTTGGTTAGCAGTGAAAAACATAGTACATAGTGGTAAACCACCAGAGCTCCTACTGTATATTTTTTTCAAAAGCAAAAAGTCAAAGTCATTGCTGTTGAGTCAGAACCAACTCAGAGTTCATCCTCCAGTGAGTTTGGGGAGGCTATAAATTGCATGGGAGGAGATAGCCCATCTTTCTCCTACAGAGCCACTGGCAGATTTGAACCCCACGGAAGTGTGGCCCTAGTAACACAGCTCCTCATGGAAGAATTTTCTGTGTATTTTCTAATAACTTTTAATGTTTAACTAACTGATTATTATACACATTAAAAATTATAAAATAAAAATATTCTTAGATGTTACCATAATATTTTGCTATGCCTAAATACCACATAGTACTGTTAGCAAATATGAATGTAATTTATTATTATGCCTATATTTGTGTTCAATTTCCCAACTATCAAAGTAAATCTAGTCTACTAATATTTCATCAAATCAAAGAAGGTTCAAAAGCCAATGTAACATATAAAAAGTAGGGGAGTGGTAATAGTAAAGATGATTGTTTTTTACATCAAGACTTTTATGAAACCTCTTTGAAAACTTTCATTTTGAGACTGTTAAGATCAATTTTTTTCTTGATAGACATTATTCCTAAATTCTTCACAAGGTTTTTGGCATTTTAACAGCCCTTAGATGTTTTCAACATGGTTCATCTTAGTCAAATAGTGATAGTATAGAATTTACAAAGCTAAAGAAATTTCAAACTATATAACTAAGTCTTCTTTCTGAAAGTTTTCTCATCAGAAAATCTATCATGAGATAAACCACATATCAGTTGAAGAACATTAATTGTAACTAATCAATTGGGCAGTGACTAAGGAGGATAGAAGGAGAATTGATGCCTTTGAGCTGTGGTGCTAGAGAAGAGTATTGAGGGTACAATGGACTGCTAGGAAAACAAACAGATTCATCCTGCAAAGGGTCAAACTGGGCGGCTCCTTGGAGGCAAGGATTCTGAGGCTCTGTCTAACATAACTTTGGACATGTTGTAAGAAGGGACTGGTCCTTGGAGAGGGACATCATGCTTGGTAGGGTGGAGGGACAGCTCATGAGGGGAAGGCCCTCTATGAGGCGGATTGATTCAGTGACTGGGGTAATTGGGATGGGTGTATCAGAGACGGTGCGATTGGCACAGTACAGAACAGAGTTTAGGGTTGTTGTACATAGGGTCGCTATGAGTTGCAAGCGACTCGATGGCACATAACAACAACAACAATCAATTGGAATGGAGAGTTAGACTGAATGAAATTTAAGATCTTTTGCAGCTCTTAGTATGTATCTTTATTGCTTAAATAAATGTCTTTCTCTCTTGGCCTTATTTTCTTTCCAGATGTTTCAAAGTCAGTGATAATATTAATGCCAAACATCTTAATATGCTGGAGTGAGTAAAATAAAGTGGATCACTTTCCAAAAACTACTGACATTATTTCACAAACTCTTTCCTAGGAAGAAATGAGCTTGCTTGATTTCCCATGTATTAATCCATTGGTTGCTCAGCTCATGTTAAATAAAGGACCTTCATTGCACTGGATATTAATAGCTACACTTTATCAACTTCAGAATCTCCTACCACAAGTTCCAGAAAAAGTGTTAAAGGTTAGTTATTTGAGATATATCTTTATGTGAAATTATTCCTTTATGTTGATTTCTTTTATACCATAAATGTTTTTTTAAAATAAAGATATCTATATAATTTACTTGAACTAAATGTCATATAGAGTTTAAATTATCTAAAGTGTGTGAGCACACTTTAATACATTTTGAAATGGTTTTGTTCACACTACTATCTAGTTACACATCCTATTCACATGCATTTATGTGACCTCATTCAGTATTTATGCCCTCTAGTTAGAGTTGTAAAGGAGCTACTGGCTTTATTATTAATACAGCAATAATTTATCAAACAAACTATACTAACTAGAATGAAAATTTCTATTATAAGACATTAGAAAAAATAAAAATGACTTTTTCCTTTTAATGAAACCTAGTAATTTTAAAGTATTATTTTAAAAAAAGTATTATTCCATGAGTAAATATAATATCTATGTATGTTCTACCTAAGTAAGATTATATACTTTAATAGAGGTTATACTTACCTTCTTTCATACAGGTAGCTAGATCTATATAAATCTGATTTATATTTACTGACTGATGTTTTTATTATATTTGTGAATCTCTTTTAGCATTTTTATGGCATCACTTCCTTATTCCAGATTAATTCTTCTTCCATAATAAGATCACCTCAAATTTCATCACCTCAGGAAAAGAATTGGACAAATACCTTTACTCTTCAGAATTCAACTCCTGAGTCTTCAGATTATGTCATTCAAGAACATAATGAATCTTACCAGGTTTCAGACTTTGGAGAGACAGTGCAGGAAGAGGGAGAAATTCTTTCTAACTCTCCCATGATGGAATTAAGTGAAATGCCAAACATGTTATCATCTGTGGATTCTTATAGTCAGACAAGTTACTGGAAAGACTCTAGTTATAAACAAAACATAGCACAGAATAATTCCTTTCTAATTAACACAGAATCACAGACAGCAACTTGTCATACCTTTCTAAATCAGATTGATTCAGAGTCTGATATCTTTGGTTTAGGTCTAACTCAAATGGATTGTGAAACCAGTTTATACTCATCACCAAAGTATAGTCATAAGAGAACTGCCCCCAATTTTATAAATTATCAGGAAAAGGAAACACAGAAAGCAAAAGAATTCAGACATAAAAAAGTATCTACTCCTGTATTTTCACGAGAAAGTCCTCAATCTTTTCTTCACTGGAACTTTAATAAAAATGTACGGGAACAGAATCACTCATTAAACTTACAATATGGTGTATGTGACAAATGGCACTCTCAGAAAGGTAATTTATTCACCACTTGGCAAAAATGTTTATCAGATGACTTAGAAGACTTCTCATACAAATGTTCAAATGATGAGACTAAAAAGACTTTTTTGAGAGAATCACCATCTAATCAGCATTTGGATTTATTTTGTTCTTCTAATTCTAATGTAAATGAAAAGGAATTTGATAACTTACATTTCTACCAAAGAACTGGAAAATGTTTAGGACAGAAAAGGTACCCTGAATCTTCGCCTAATATAGGATACAAGGAAGCATGTCCAGGTAACATTATCCAGTAATTACTGAAACTATTCTCAAATTTGAATTTAAAGGATAGAACTGCCTTCAAGTTGAAAATAAAGAGGTTTTCATTTGTCTTAATTACTACATTAAATAACTTTTTAAAATAACATTTTAGTAAAAAAGGAACTCTAAGTTCTAATTTAGACTTTAAAAAAATATATGCAGAGAAAATATACTGTATTTGTATGCAGATAATGCACATGCTATATGCCAAAATGGCTTTACTTCATTTTATCATTTCCACACATTAAATATGTGGGTGCATTACAACAATAAGGTTATATATCAAATCCTTGTGGCTATAAATAGAGTAAGCATTCCGTTTAAGAAATCAAAATACAGAGAACAGCTAAGAAAAGCCAAAGGATAAAGTCAACAAAGATTTGATAGAGATGTTAATGAATTGGAAAATTAACCTTACTAGGACAGAAGTATTTAAAATCTTATTATGTGTCATATACTATCCTAAGCCCTTTATATGAAATGTTTAATGTTAACAATCTCCTAAATAGGCATTACTGTTAGCCCCGTTTGCAGTTGATGGTTTTGAGTTTTCTGAATTCAAAAACTTTAAATAATGATTTTTAACCTATCTAGTTGTTACATCTTTCTTTCTATTTCTTATTTCACTGACAAAATCATCCAGACAAAAATACTAAGTTCTAATGGCCTATACAGTTGATCAGTCATGAAATGTGCAGTGGAGAGGAGGCGGGAGAGTGGGGAAAGAGTTGCTGAATTTTATTTGAACTCTTCTTTACATTAGGAAAAATTAAACAATTTCTCCATTGATTTATTGATGTTGACTATTATATATAGTGGATTAAATGTTGGACTTCCAAACAAAAGATTGTTGGTTAAAACCCACCAGCTGCTCCATAACAGAATGAATCAATCTGTTCCTGTAAAAATTTAGCCCTAGAAACACGTATGTGGCTGTTCTACTCAGTCCCCAATTGATAAGGTCACTGTGAGTAGGAGCAAATGATCTTTGCATTTCTCTGATAAGACTAAATCATTTTTCCCATCTTCACTTTTTTCTTTCTTTGTTTCCTTCTTTTATTTTTTCTTGTTGCATACCATCTAATTGGATCTGACTGGCACAGGAGAATATTGCCTTTCCTTCTTAGATGGAGCATCTGGTGGGTTTGAACCGCATGGCTTCGGGATTGCAGCACAGCTTCTTGCCACTAGGCCACCAGAGCTCCCTTTCCACTATATATTAGTTTTTGTACAGAATTCGTATACATTGTGTATCATTCATGTACATTGTGTTTCACACATTCCTGCATTCACATCGTGTTTCAGACAATCACCACATTTATGCTGAGTGAATGAACTCATTCTCATAGGAACAAATACTGCATAAGACCATAATTGTAAAAGTGGAAGGGTGAATACTAAGATGTGTATAAAAGTTCAAAGGGGGAAGCGGGACAGGATGGCAAAAGTGGGGATGGGAGGAAATCATTACGATAAGAGTTTGGTGAGGAGAGGTGGAGAGGATGATGAAGGAATGAGGAAAGATGCAAGAGGGACCTGAAAAGATGGGGTTTATAGTAGCCATAGATCAACAGTGATTAATTTTATGATTAATTCATTTTTGAGAGATGATTCTCTTAATACATTATGAATATAGTTAATTTTTAAATTCTTTCATATATCTGCCTTTAAATGAAATATGTCTCTTACCAGAGTTTGTTCTTTGGCATATTTTAACATAAAGGTCATGCCAGCTTAATAAAATAAAATTAAATTAAAACTCCTTCATTTTTAAACTCTAGAGCAAATTAAGAATTCCTATTGCTACATATTTTAATATAAAATAGTGTATAAGACAATCTCCACATTTTCCTGAGAAGATCCCAGAAATTATGTTTTTAAACAAATTTTAATATTTAAGCTTTGATATAGGCAGAATAGGCAATTACCTACTTACATATTTTAAGTTACATATGAAATGATTTTTTTATGTTCTTATATTCCATGACAATTTAATTCATATAAGCATGAATCTTTGATGCCAGTATCTTCATTAGCACAGTGGCAACATTTCCCTTATTTACTGTAGGTTTTTCCATTAAGACTTAAAACGTTTTAAAATCCCTATTGATGGAGCCCAAGAAAATTTATCCAAAGCCATTGAGATAACTTGAAGATAATATTTCATTTGTTCTGTAGGTATGTATTTCTGCTCTCAATTACATGATTAGGGAGCTCTAGTGGTGCAGGGAGTTGTGTTGTTAATTCTCTAAAGTGGATCAAATCCACAAAAGGCTTCAAGCAAAAAAGATGGATAGTCTTCTCTCATGAGATCTGCAGTCTTGGAAATTAAGTGGAAGGCCAGCTATGAGTATGTTCGAACTCTATGGCAATGAATTTTGGAATTTTTAACATTTATACTACTTTTAAAACATGCCATTCATCTATTGTAGTTGTTGTTGTTATGTGCCATCGAGTCGTTTCCGACTCATAGCGACCCTATGCACAACAGCTCTAAACCCTGCTCTATCCTGCGCCAACCGCACCGCCTCTGACACACCCAGCCCGATTACCCCAGTCACCGAATCAATCCATCTCATAGAGGGTCTTCCCCTCCTGTGCTGTCCCTCCACCCTCCCAAGCATGATGTCCCTCTCCAAGGACCCGTCCCTCCTGGCAACATGTCCAAAGTATGTCAGACGAAGCCCCAGAATCCTTGCCTCCAAGGAGCAGCTTGGTTTAATCCTCTCCAAGATGGATCTGTTTGTTCTCTTGGAAGTCCATGATATGTTCAGAATTCTTCTCCAGCACCAGAACTCAAAGACATCAATTCTTCTTTTGTCATCCTTAATCATTGTCCAACTCTCAGATGTATAGCAAGCAGTTGAAAAAACCATGGCTTGAATCCAGTACACTTTAGTCTCTAGGCTGACATCACTACTCTTTAGCAGTCTAAAGGGGACTCTGACAGCAGACTTTCCCAAAGTCTTGATTTTTCTGACTCCTGGTGCCAAGAGTGTTGACTGTGGGTCTGAGGAAGATGAAATTTTTAACAATATCAACATTTTATCCATTTTTCATGATACTGACTATTGGCCCAGTTGAGGATCTTTGTTTTCTTAATGTTGAGATGCAATTCATATTGAAGGCTGTAGTCCTTGACCTTCCACAGCAAACGCTTCCAATCCTCCTTGGTGTCGACTAGCAAGGTTGTGTGTGTCATCTGCATAATGCAAGTTGTTGATAAGTCTTCCTCTAATCCTGATGCTACATTCTTCTGAATGATCTATTCCACATATAAATTTAAAAGGTATGGAGAAAGGATACATCCCTGACACATTCCTTGTTGATTTTGAACCATGTGGTGTGTATTTGCTCTGTTTATACACCTGCCTCCTGGTGTAGGTATAAGATTTGCATGAGCACAGTCAAGATTTACCAGTTCACTACTGCTACCAGCTCAGGCTCTCTCATTATTTTACAGAGAGGGACTAGGGTGCTATCATCATTAACATTTCTTATGTTTCATATGATTATTCATATGTATAATAATATTCCTAAATTAGAGTTCAAGATCCATTTTCAAGGCATCCATTTGTAAGTAGATTTTTGACACATAACCAATTACTAAAATTACATAGGTCTTTGGTGAATATAATCACACACTGATTATGTGGACCTAAAGTGAATTATGCCCAATCACATACCATCTTCACAATTTCTCCTGTGTTTAAGGCCCTCATTGCAGTCATCATGTCAGTCCATCTCACTGAGGGTTTTCCTGTCTTGTTTACCCCCTGCTTTTCCAAGCATGTTGTCCTTCTTTAAGAACTGGCCCCTCATGATTCATTGTATGCCCAAAGTATGTGAAACAAAGTCTCGTCATTCTTGACTCTAGGGAGCACTTTGGCTACACTTTTTCCAAGAGATACTTGTTTGGTCTTCTGGCAGTCCATTGTATATTTAGTACTTTTCACCAAAACCACAATTCAAAGGTTTCAATTCCTAAGAATAGCCAAAGCCAAGTGAAAGAAAGCTGTAGTCATGAAACCCACTGCCATTGGGTTGATTCTGAATCATAGCCAACCTTTAAGACAGAATAAAGACGCCCCATAGGATTTCCAACGCTGTAAATCTTTATAAGAGTAAACTGCCACATCCTTCTCCAGTGTCACTGCTGGTAAATTCAAACCACCAAACTTTTGGTTCTCAGCCAAGTGCCCAGCACCAGAGCTCTTCTCAATCAGAAATAGGGAGGGCAAGCTTTAGTAAGTAGGAAAGGGAGGAGAAAAAAGGAGGGGGAGGAAGAAGAAGGAGGAGGATGAGGAGGAGAGGGCAGGAGAAGGGAATGGGGGAGAGGGGAGCTAGGGAGGGAAGGGGGGAAGGGAAACAGAACTGTATATAATCTCATCACACAGAAACCTGCTTTTCCCTACAATATACATATACTGTAGGCCTTTGTTTTAGGCTCAGAATCACTGAGGATGAGCTTGTAATTTGAGTCTAAATGGTGGTTTATTGGAAACCTTTTGGAACCAGGAGTCCTGTCTGAGTTGCTCTCAAATTCATTTTTAATGTTGTTGCAGTTGTTTATTGCCTCGAGCATGACTCATAGTGACCCCATGAACAAAAGACCTGAAGCCTTTCTATTTATCACAGTTTATAGAGTTTCAGACATTTATCAAAGTTCATAGTTTCCAGAGACATGTTGTTTAGGAAACACCACTCATACTTCCATCATTTTTAATAATTTAGTAAATTATTTTACTAAAAAGAGTTTTAACTGAATGGTACCTTAGTATAACTTCATTTCAAAGAAAACTGAAATCCAGACAGATTTAAATATTTGTGCAAGTCATGTGTTTTTCTGTGAGTGTGGTTTTTTCTGATAAATTTTTTCCCCTTTTTTAATTTTTTTTTAAAAAAAATGCCTCCAGATACTCTATGAACTTTGATAAATGTCGATAGTTGTAGAAGGGCTTCAGGCCTTTTGTTCATAGGATCGCTATCAATTGTGCTCCACTCGAAGGGAATCAACAACCACCACCTTAATGTTAAAAATATAATAATTAATTTTTAAATATTCATCAACATCTCACTTTAGAAATGTTAACATTTTATAGGTGACTAAGACAAGGATCTATGTTAACAGATTTAAAAGAAAAAATATTTGCAGTAATAAAACAAGTCTTCTTTTTCTCTTTATAACAGATTTCTTGTACTCCCATCTGCCACAATTCAAAAGGCGACGTCTAACGTATGAAAAAGTCCCCGGGAGAGCTGATGGACAAACTCGCCTAAGGTTTTTTTGAAAGAAAGAAAAATAGTACTGTATGCCACACTAACAAAAATTATTATGATTCCTTCGTTCATTAAATTAAAAACAACTACCTTATTTTTCTGGTTGTTCTCTGTTGATATACTTACTGTTCCAATCATTTTTGGATACTCTTCAGCAGAATCTTGTTTGCATGTGATATTAATGATATTGTTCAATAATTTCCACACTGTCGTATCACCTTTTTTGGAATAGGAACAAATATCGATCTCTTCCAGTCGGTTGACCAAGTGGTTGTCCTCCAGATTTCTTGGTACAACTTGGTGAGCACATCTAAGGCAGCATCTGTTAGCTGAAATGTCAATTGGTATACCAACTATTCCTGGGGCCTTATTTTTTGCCAATTCTTTCAAAGCTGCTTGAACTTCCTACTTCATCACCATAGGCTCTTGCTCATATGTTGTTTCATGAAATTCTTCTGTGTCTGCCAATTCCTTTTGGTATAATGACGACTTTGTATACTGTTTCCATCTTCTTTTAATACTTCCTGGATTATTTAATATTCTGCCCAAAGCATCCTTATGTATTGCAACTTGAAGCTTGAATTTGTTCTACAGTTCCTTGAGCTTAGGAAATGCTGAGTGAGTTCAGCCTATTTGATTTTATGAGTCCAGCTCTTTGCACATTTCATAATAATACTTTGTCTTCCCTTGCTGCCTTTCCCTCTGTTTTGGCTTCTCGGCACTCTAGGGCAATATTCAGAGTCTCTTCTGACATCCATTTTGGTCTTTTCTTCCTCTTCTGTCTTTGTAATGACTTTTTGCACTCTTCCTAGATATTCTTGATTTCCTCCCATAACTCATCTGGTCTTCATTCATTACTGTTCAAGGCCTCAAACCTGTTCCTGAGATGGTTTTGAAATTCAGGTTGGATAGACTCAAGGTCTGTTTTGGTTCCCAAGGATTTTATTTCACTTTCCTTAGTTTCAGCTTGAACTTGCATATGAGTAGTTGGTGGTCTGTCCTACAAGCAGCACGTGGCCTAGTTTTCACAGCTGATAATGAGCTTCTCTAGCGGTTCTTTCCACAGATATAATCAATCTGATTCCTATGCGTACCATCAGGTGAAATCCATGTGTGCAGCCTGGGTTCAGAAGGGGTCGTGGTACTAGGGATATTGTAGCTAATGTTAGATGGATCTTGGCTGAAAGCAGGGAGTACCAAAGGAATATCTATCTGTGTTTTGTTGATTATGCAAATGCCTTTGATTGTGTGGATCACAACAAACTGTAGCTAACTCTGAGAGGAATGGGAATCCCAGAATACTTGATTGTGCTAATGTGAAATCTATACTTGGACCAGGAAGCAGTCATCAGAACAGAGCAGGGAAACACTGCATGGTTCAAAATTGGGAAGGGTGTTCTCCAGGGATGTGTTCTATCTCCATACCTTTTCAATCTATATGCAGAACAGATTATCTGGGAGGCTGGGCTCTATGACAAGAAATGTGGCATCAGGATTGGAGAAAGACTCATCAACAACCTGCGTTATGCAGATGACACAACCCTGCTTGCTAAAACTGAGGACGACCTGAAGCACTTGCTACAGAAGGTCCAGGACTGCAGCCTTCAATATGGATTGAAGCTCATTATCAAGAAAACAAAGATTCTTACTACAGGGCCACTTGGCAGCATCATGATAGATGGTGAAGAGATTGAGTTTTACTTTGCTTGGCTCCACATTCAACACTCTTGGCATCAGCAGCCAGGAAATGAAGATGTATTTCAATGGAAAGTCTGCTGTTAAAGACCTCTTCAGAGTACTGAAAAGCAACGATATTAGTCTGGAGACTAAGGTGTGCCTGATATAAGCCATGGTCTTTGCAATTACTTGTTATGCATCAGAAAGCTGGACAATGACTAGGGATGATAGAAGAACTGATGCCTTTGAGCTATGGTGTTGGAGAAGAGTATTAAATATACCATGGACTGCTATGAGAATGAACACGTTCATTCTGGAAAGTGTTAAACCAGGCTGCTCCTTGGAGTCAAGGATTCTGAAGCTTTGTCTGACATAATTTGGACATGTTACAAGGAGGGACCAGTCCTTGGAGAGGGTCGTTATGCTTGGGAGGGTGGAGGGACAGTGCAGGAGGGGAAGACCCTCTATGAGATAGATTGATTCAGTGACTGGGATAATGGGGGTAGGTGTGTTAGAGATAGTGAGATTGGCACAGGATAGAGCAGGGGTTAGGGCTATTGTACACTGGGTCACTATGAGTTGCAGGTGACTCGATGGCACATAATGACAACAAACCATATTTTTCTGTATTATACAAACCTATAATTGACACACAGGTTTATAAAACAGCATGCATAGGAAGCTAACACTCAAGCAAATTGTACAGTTGGCAAAAGCTATAGGACCTATGTGTTGTGTAAAAGATTGCACTCTTAAATGTTTCAAGGTCTTTATTTTCATATTTTGCTCCAAGATTTGTGTTCTTATAAGTAAAATATTCTATCAGTTACTATAATAATTGTCTTAAGATTCAAAATGTCTTCCAGATCCATCTAAACATGACATACCTTTTACATTAGCCTCTGTCACAGATACTTTAAATCAGTGTGATCAAGAAGTGAAGATGACCATATCTAACCCCCGAAAAAGTTAAAGCTTAGGGTAAAGTGAAGTTGGAAAACTTCCAATTTAAAATGACGCTTTCAATTAACAAAAGACAATTTTCAAATAAAAATAGGAAAAGGGTTTACTTTCCTAATATATAAAAATTCCTTTAAACTGGAACAAACCTTATAGAAAATATAAGTAAAACTGAGTAAACATCACAAAAGAAACAAGAATAACCAATAAAAGTTTGAAATAATACTAACAATCATACTTATTACACAAATGCAAAAAAAATAGTTTAAGTTACTGGGGATTTAAACTATTATAACATTTTATTTTAAATGTTGGCATGTTGTAGAAAAAGACATATTCTTATTGGTACATCCTTTTTGGAAAATAGGTTTTGTAATATCTGCCAAAATATAGGAAGCTTTCTTGGCCTAGTTATAAGAAGCTGTGCTGCAATACCTACGTCATGTGGTTCGAATCCACCAGACATTCCGTTGGAGATGGATAAGCAGTCTCCTCCCATATGATTAATTGTCTCTATGGCACACAACCACCACCACCAAAATAGAATTCTGATAACCTAGTCAGTAAGGAGTTGCCCTGCCAACCCAAAAGTGGACATATCATTTATCAGTTAACCTTTCAAGCAATCTGTCCTAAAGGAATGTTTATATGATATGTATGTATTACAGTATAATTTATAATAGGTAAATGTTGTAGAGGGAGCTCTGGTGGCCTAGTAATAAGGCTCTGTGCTGCCAATTCAAAGACATACAGTTAAAATCCACCAGCCAACCCATCAGAGCAGTCTCCTCCTGTGTGATAAACCTGTTGTAGGGTCAGCTGTAAGATAGATGCAGTTTGCCAGCTAAGAAGACACAAAACAACAACAAACATTGTAGACAATATGTGACAGGTAGACATTGTGATAGGACTTTGTTGTTGGATTGTAGGTGGTTGTTGTTAGGTGGCATCAAGTCAAGCACAAGAAACCCTATTAGCAACAGATCTGAACCCAGCCCTATCCAGTGCCATTCTTATCATCTCTGACATACTTGATCACATTGCTGCAGTCACTATGTCAGTCTACCTGATTAAGGGCTTTCCTATCATTCACTGACACTCTACTTTTCAAAGCACAAAGTCTCTCTCCAAGGAATGGCCTCTCCCAGAAACATGCCCAAAGTGAGATAGCTTTCTCATCATGACTTCAGGGAGCACTCTGACTACACCTTCTCCAACATTTCTTTTGGTAAGCCATGGATTATTCAGTACTCTTCAAGCACCAAACCTCAAAGGTAGCAGTTCCTGTTCTTTTATCCTTATTCACTGTCCAGTTCTCAGATGCACAGCAAGTGAATGAAATCAGGTGCACCTTCAGCTTTCAAATTTATATCACTGCTCCTCAGTAATTTGGAGAGATCCCTGACTACAGACTTTCCCAGTGCACTATGTTTCCCTATCACTTGACTGACGGTACCAAGGATGTTGATTGTATATCAAAGTAAAATGAAGCTGTTGAGTTTCAAGCTTTTCCCCAGAGTCTTTATTTCCATCAGTTTTGGTCTTGTCCTTTTGCTATCTTTTAATGTTTTTTTCTTCTTGATTATATTCTTGATATCCTGTAACTCATCTGGTCTTCAGTAATTCATGTTCAATTAAGTCAAATCTATTATTAACATACTAGGCATCAGTGAGTTGCAATGGATTGGCATGGGTCATGGTGAATCAATCACATAATCTACACAGAAGATGAAAAAGCTAGAGGGAAGAGGGTCATATTCATAGATAAAAAGACCATTTCTAGATCCATAATGAAATATTGGTATATGGTATTGAGATACAATGATGATGAAGGAGGAAGTTCAAGTTGCTCTGAATGAATTGGGGGGGGGTGGTGAAGGCCCTAGGAATTGACAGAATACTAACTGACATATTTCAAGAAACAGATGTTGTTCTGGACTAGGTTGCGCCAAGAAATATGGAGGACAACTGAATGGAAAAGATCCATATTTATTCCCATTAAAAAAGATAGCCTAACAGGGTATGGAAATTATCAAACAATATCACTAATATACATACAAGCAAAATCTTGCTGAAGATTATCCAAAAATGACTGGAACAGTACATCTACAGACAACTGCCAGCAGTGCAAGCTAGAATTAGACGAAGCCATGGCACTAGAGACATCATAGCCAATTGTTAGATGGATCTTGTCTGAAAGCAGAGAGTACCAGAGGAATGTCTGTGCTTCATTGACTATGCAAAGGCATTTGACTATGTGGATCACAACAAATTGTGGCTAACCTTGAGAAGAATGGGAATCCCAAAACAGTTAATTGTGCTCATGTGAAACCTATCCTTGGATTGGGAAGCAGTCGTCAGAACAGAGCAAGGA